TTCACAATATAATTGTTTAAATTCAAATTGGACCATTAAGCCTCGGTCTACCCTATAATAACAATATAATTTCATTATCAGTACATAAAATCATACACCTACGATATTAATTTGAATATTATTTTACTAACATTTTCGGTGATAATGTCTCAACTAAATATTTAACAAAATATGTTAAAATTATTAAGCACCATTGTATTGAATTTCATAATGTCGATGAGATAAATAAGAGATTTTTATAATTAAAAAATAAATTTGCTGCTCTCAAATTTTATGTACGATGTCTCGTATATTAATATTTTTTTCTAATAGAATTAAATAAAAAAATATAATGTAAGTATTAAATTGATGCCATTCATACGGTTTTCGAAAAACTAACTTATTCCAATTACAACCAGTTCTAATTACAATTAGTTCATACAAGTTTTTATCAGGTAAGTAATAAAAGACTAACAAAAAAGCTAACTAAGTCCAAATTACTAAAAGTATTGTGCATATGAAGTTATCGGCTAGTGTAAATATATATATATATATATATATATATATATATATATATATATATATATATATTACATTTTCTTTAAAGTGAAAATGAAAAAACTAAAACTTAGTAACAGAATCATAATACATGAAACAAAGAATACATAACAAAATACGTTTTGTGGAGACAGAGACGACATAATAATCAACTCGCTTTACGTAATCAAATATTTTGCAACAATTATTTCCTCAAGATGCAATTCGAAATTGTATTTGTCATTATTAAATTTCCAGAGAACAGTATAGAACAAAATGAAACAAAACTGCATTATATCCGGAACTCATAACGTAACTGCATTAACAAGACAAAGGTGAAATTTCCATTTTGAAGTACGTGCTACTGAAAACGTCGTTGGAATCGAATTACAATAACGTGATTTCTTTCATTTGCGCACTGTTCAATCAAAAATCACTCTAAATCGTGTTCAATTCTAACATTCAGATGGCAATGGCAGAATTGTGAAGCTAAATTATCTAAAGAATTACTGAGAAAATGTATAGAAGTACCTGTGAGTGAATTAAATATTAATTGTGAAATCTAACAAAAATTATAATATTTAATCAAAGAGAGAAAAATTACAACTTGATAATTGATTTTATATATTATGAGTATATAAACCTTTATTTTAATTTAGACAAAATGTTACTACTGTTTGGCAATTGAAAAACTAGATAAAGAAAAACCTTAAAAAGGTTATACTTTAGAAATCTGATTGAGTTATAATTTTATATCTTCTAATTTTCTAAGTGAATGTTAATATAAAGATGTCATCAACAACATTATTAAACCAAATTAGGTTCTTAATGTCAAATTATGAATTGAAAACTTATTTATCAAAGTAAAAGCACTCCTAAAACTCCATTGCAGTTATTGTATCATGCTTTGTGATACCCTATATTTTCAATGTAGGGAAGAGTATGTGTAAAGCAGATTTTAAGGGTTCACGAGTAAAAAGATCCACCACCAATATCTCAAAGACAAGTGAAGTCTGGTATTTTTTACAATAATTGAAAATCGTAACAAAAGTATTTTCGTTCGTTATTAGTTTTTCTGGCTATGAGCTCTGTCTTTAGTTTACCCCGCAATTCTGAATCGATTTTGAAAATTCAAATTCGTTCGAAAGATATTGGTTGGGAATCGTGCTGATTAGTTTTTGGTAAAGATCGGTCGGGCCGTTTTCTTGTAATATAGTTTTTAAATTTTATTTTTATGATTTTTTTTTGACGGTAGATACCATAGTCTTGTAGATCATACTAAAATATTACGGCCCTACGAAAACTCGTTTAGCTTTAAAAATTCGTCAAAGTTTGCAAAAATGAGTATCGTTTTTTTGACATTTGTCAACATTAGATCTTTGATCAACGTTTTCTCAAAAACGTCTGAACCGATCTCAAAAGTTTAAAAGCCATTTGATGTATCTCAATGAGGACTGTTGTTTGTCAGTTTTGTGAGATGATCTGCTTAACCGTTTCTTTGTAATTTGCGAAAAGTGTTAAACTTTCAAGCTCATACTACTAAATCGATTTTAAAAAATCAAAAACTGTTCGAAAGATATTAGTTGGGAATGATACTGGTTAGTTTTAGGTGAAAATCTACCGAGCCGTTTTTCTGTAATTAACTGTTGAAAAAAAAATTTAAGCCGATTTTAATGGAATAGAAAAAATAAGATTTTTGACAAACAATAAGACAAAAAATTACTTTTTTTTGAAAAAAAAATTTTTTTTTTTTTAATTTTTTTTTATTAACTTCCCGTAGGGTAAGTTATTGTAATGGGCCGAAAATCGGAATTGAAAATTTTTACATTTCTCGACGTTTTGAAGGTTTCTGAACGTTTTGGCATACCCCAGAAAAAATGGATGTGTGTGTGTGTGTGTGTGTGTGTGTGTGTGTGTGTGTGTGTATGTATGTATGGATACAAATTTCCAGTCACGTTTTAGGGCGCACGGATCAACCGATTTGAATGGTTCAAAAAACATTCGATTTCTATTGATAGGGAAAAGAGCTGATTAGTTTTTGGCAAAGGCAGGTCCAGCCGTTTCGGAGATACGGTGCAAAGAGTGCAGAAAATAGAAATCGAATTTTTGAGAGAACGGAGTATCCGATTTGAATGATCTAAAAAACATTCAATTAGTAATGATTGGGAGAAGTGTTTATTAGTTTTTGGCAAAGGAAGGCCCAGCCATTTTGAAGATACGGAGCTAAATATGTAAAAAATGGCAGTTTTTGAGAGAACTAAGCGTCCGATTTAAATGATTCAAAGAACTTTCTGCTTGTCTTAACAAAATAATCGATTTTGGAAAAAAAAAATTGTCTCATTTTTTTTTTTTTTTTTTTTTTTTTTTTTTTTTTTTTTTTTTTTTGGTATATCGAAAATAGTTCAGATTTTATTTTCATTCTGACTACAGTTCTAATATAACTCATACAAATAATTTTAAATGTTTCAATATTTTTTATAATAATCTATTTGAAAACATTCAGTTCAGAAATTTTCACACAAAAAATGCAAAATTAACTAACAGTTATATATAAAACGCATATGATAATATTGAACAATACGATACAAAATTTTAAATTTCAAAGCCGGCTTAAAATAGCCTAGATATTATATAGCATTATCGAATAATAAAGTTTCTGACCTCGTGATAAAGCATGAATTTTATTTAAAAAAAAATTATCTAAGGCTGACCACCCCTTCAATTTAACCATAGTGCAAATAATTCCCGATGCGCACAAAAAATATAGTTGTTACATAGATTGCATACATTTTTTTGCATTTTTTATAAAAAATTGAGAGATTGAATATTAAAATCTTAACATCTTTAATCCCCGCTCTATCTTATATATATATATATATATATATATATATATATATATATATATATTGATTTGGAAATATTAACAAACAACACTCTTTTTCGCACTAATTTATTAAATAATAATTTAACAAACGTTTTGAGACTAGGCTAAATCTAAAATATGGAAAACTAAATTAGCATTATGCGTTATCCGTTACAAGTCGTTCAATGTGCAGTATTTTGAGTTCAGTATACAGAATATTGAACGACTTGTAACGGATAACACATAATGCTAATTTTGGTTTCCATATTTTAGATTTTAAATTATAACACACTGATGATGAGACAAACCTAGTCTCGAAACGTTTGTAAAATTATTATTTAATAAATTAGTGCAAAAAAAAGATGTTTGTTCACATTTCCAAATTAATATCTCTCTAGCCACTCAGAATACATTTGTATATATATATATATATATATATATATATATATATATATATATATATGTACCCGGAATTTTCGTTTTTTTAAAAAAATATTTATTTATTCGTCTACATTAATGTGGTCCCCTTCAAAGTAGTCCCCCCCAGATATAATACACTTATGCCAGCGTTTTTTCCAATTTTCGAAGCACCCTTGATATTCACTTTTTGATATGTCCTTGAGCACTCTCAGCGATTTTCTTCAATCGAGGAAAACCGCCGTCCTTTCATGGGTCTCTTCAACTTTGGGAATAGGAAAAAGTCACACGGAGCCATATCTGGTGAATTTTTGCACTTTGCAACACTTTATTTCATTTTTTACGCAAAATTTAATACAAATTCTTTGACTTTTCAATTCTTCCATTGTAAAAATCGCCGAGCTCAGAAAAACACGTCGAACCTTAGCGACTACCACAGACAAAGTAAACAGTGAATATAGCTGAAAATTTCATCATACTTTAGGGGCATGTATACCAACACAATAAAAAAAAAATTTTGACAATCAGACACTCCAGACCCGCGAAATTTAATTATTAGTAATTCCGGGTACTTTTTGAACAGACCACGTATATATATATATATTAAATGTTAAATATAAACAATACAACACTCAGATTTTTAATACACACTTCATTTGGTAATTGCAGACGTTTATATATATATATATATATATATATATATATATATATATATGAGTGAGTTCTTGAGGGCGATACATCAAACAAAGAAATTGTTTCTTTGTTTGATGTATCGCCCTCAAGAACTCACTCATATATTTCAACATCAAAATTAACTACTAAATCATATATATATATATATATATATATATATATATATATATATTTGAAACTTTATCGAACCTTTAAGGCAGAAGCGCAAAATTAAAAAAAAATTCAATCCAAACAATGATGTGGTCATTGCGATCTATTTGCATTTTTTCAGACAGACAGACAGAAATAAAAATTTATTCCTTATATTGGTACATACATTGAATTAAATTTGCATTTTTTCAGCAACATTGATAGGCTATATACACTTCATGTACTACGAGTCAATTCATGTAATCCGAGTCAGTTTGCGCATGCGCTCAATTGAATATATTTTGTTTTTATTGTGAAATCTCAGTTGGTTATGCTAACATATAAAAATAATTGATTATTTTGTTTTATTAAGTTAACAAAAATGAAATCTAAGCGTAAATCTGCTAAAACTAAAAATAGCTATAATAAACGACTATATGCCGCAAATGCAGTTAAAAAGAAAGATGTAGTTTCTAGGAAGGAGCAGCAAAGGATATGCAAAGAAAAATTGCGATCGGATTCGGTATACCGAAAATCCGAAGGAGAACTAAACAAAAATAGGATAGCGCATTTGCGCAAGGACGAAAGCTTTAGGAGAAGGGAAAAGGTAAGTAATAGAATACGTTTAGCGACAACTAGACATAGTGACAATAATTTCGCTCGGCTTGAAAATGAGAAGCATAGGAAACGTATAGCTATCAAGAGAAAAAATGATGAGATATTTAAAATTAATGAAAAAAATAAAAATAAAGTACGCATGCGTGAATATAGGAAAAACGAAAGTATAAGATTGGCTGAATATATGGCAAGAAAGCGCGAAGATAATGTTCATCGAGAGCGAAGGAGAAATGAGTTGCGTATGAAATTTTTAAGACAGGGTCAATATAAACTATCTGAAATTAATAAAAATATCGAACGGAATATAATTCTCCGTCAAAATTATGCATATAACCAGTTAGAAAATAATAAAAATAAGCTGCGTAATAGACTTCTTCGACAAAATTATGAATATAGGACGAGCGAAAATTATAAAAATATCAGGCGAAATAGTGACTTAAGACATAAATTACCATATCGCACAAAGGAAATGAAAAATAATATCGAGCGCAATATGCATTTACGACGTAAATCTTTGTATAGAACTCGTGAAAACGAGAAAAATATGATACGCAACAACAGGTTAAGACAAGCTCCAAATTTTTCAATAAACGAAAATAAAAATAATACTTTTCGTAATAAGATTTTGCGCAAAAATAGAGAATTTAGATTAAATGAAGCACGTTCTAATATTTCACGCATGAGAATGACTCGTAACATTGCGCATTACAGTACAAACGAGAAAATTAAAAATATAGATCGAATGAGAAAATCACGGCACGATAAAGTCGCATATAGAAAGGAACTAAAGAAGAATGCCGAACATAAATTAAAAAACAGAGAACTAGATTTCATAAAATATCGTGAAAACATATATAATCAATTAAAAACATTTGACAAATTTTATCCATTTGCAGAGCTGCAGCAAAAGTTTATTCATTTAAGAGCCGAAACTACTTCATATATTTGCTGTTGCTGTGAGGGACTGTTCTTTAAGCATTCGGTTTCAAAATTCAATGAAACTTCTCTTTATAATAAAATTAATTCCATTAATAATAAAAAAATGCACGCGCTATTAAATGCGGAAGAGTTAATGTCGCGCATATATAACTTTCCAAGCGAATATATTTGTACTACATGTAAAAAATATGCTAATCGTGGTGAGGTTTATAAATTGGCAACCAGCAACAATTTGCAATTTACAAAAATACCCGAATGCTTAAAACGGTTGACAGATTTAGAGGAACGAATGGTAGCGCCAATATTAAATTTTATGCAGATACGTGCTTTAAAGCCTTATGCTTTAAATCCACAATTAGGATTGAAAGGGAGCGTGGTTAATATTTCAATCCAAATCAACGATCTCTTAAATGTTCTTCCAAGAAAATTCAATCAAATGAAAACTATCCAAATCAAATTAAAACGAAATATCAGTCATAAGAGCGACTATATGTTTGAAACAGTAAGACCGGGATTAATTTGCGAGGCGTTGAAGTATTTAGTTACGACACCCCTATATTTAAAATATAATGTTCAGGTAGATCAAAAATATTTAGATATGTTTGATAGCGGCGTTGAAAACGTTAATTTTATTGTGGATGATAAAGATCTTTTAGAAGATGAATTATCTGAATCGACCAATGATGGAGATGATAATCCACCACCTCAACCAACAATTGATTTCAATCAAATTAACAATGACGAAGTCTTGCTAATTGATAATAATACTAATGTGGCACATGACAATTCTTCAAAGATAAGTATAATTGCTCCAGGACAGAGCAAATACCCGTTGCCTTGGCACAAAATGGATGATTTGGATGAATTATGTTTTCCCAAATTATTTGGTGGTCATTCATTTTCATCTCAAAAAATATCTTATAAAGATCGCGCACGTTCAGAAGTTAGACGGTTTGACCGCCGATCATGTATTCCGACCCGTATCTTATTTATGGCAAAAAAAAGTCTGGAGATTGCCTGCATGTCTAACATCAATATATGTTTAAGGCGGTCAAAAAAAAATTTGGCTAAAAAAATTGTTGCTTCAGATGCTATAGATAGCAATTTTATAAACGATTTAGTAAAGTTTGATGATGGTTATAGGTTTTTAAAAAACATTAGATCGTCGCCAGCATTTTGGGAAGATAAGAAAAAAAAATTATTAGCTATGATTCGTCAGTTGGGCCGGCCCACTTTCTTTTTAACTTTATCTGCTGCGGAGTCACAATGGCCAGAATTATTGAAAACGTTGATGAAATACAGCGAATACAATAAAAATATATCTCTACGTGAAGCGTACGCGTTGGATCACAATACGAAAACCACACTGATTAGAAACGATCCAGTTACTTGCTCGAGATATTTTGACTACAAAGTCAACAAATTTATGTGGATGTTGCGACAAGCAAACAGTATTTTTGGCGAGTATGAGGTTATAGACAGCTACGAACGAGTCGAGTTCCAACAGCGCGGCAGCCCGCACGAGCATATATTATTATGGTTAAATAATGCACCGAAATATGATTCAAATTGCAATGAAAGCAATAATAACACATTCATAGATTTTATTGATAGATTCATTACGTGTAAAAATGATTCAGAAAATCCATATGTCAAATTGCAAATACATAAACATGGAAGGACATGTTATAAAGGACAACGAAACAAGGAATGTCGTTTCCACATTCCATATCCCGTTATGAAAAAGACAATGATATTAGAGCCGCTAAGTAAAGATGAACAAGCCCCAAAACAATATAAAACCATACGCGATCTAATGAATAAATTGTATAGAGAGAATAAATATATGAGTTACGAAGATATTCTAAAGGAATTAGGAATGAACGAAACTGAATATATATTGTCAATTCGGAGTTCATTAAAACAGAAGCGCGTATTTTTGAAAAGATCTAGCCTGGAAGTAGCTGTCAACGCTTATAATTCCAATATACTAAAATTGTTCGAGTCCAATATGGATCTTCAGATTATATTAGATGAATATGCGGTAATAAGCTATGTTACTAATTATATTAGTAAGATAGAGGGAGGACTATCCAAGCTTTTACGAGAAGCAGCCATGGATTGTGACAACAATAATAAAAGTATCAAGGAAAAATTTTGTGCTGTAACTAACGTATTTTTAAATAGTAATTTAATGTCAGCACAAGAAGCCGCATACCACGTTCTTTCGTTGTCTTTGTCAAAACAGAGTAGAAAGACAATCTTTATAAATACTCGGCCAACGACTGAACGAGTGTCAATGTTGAAGTCGATCGACACTTTAAAACAATTAAACAAGGATTCAACTGAAATATATGTAGAAGATTTATTCAGTAAATATAGTAAACGCGTTGAAAGTTTAGAATACGTATGTCTAGCTGACTACGCTGCAAATTATGAAAATAGAAAAAAAAAATCATTGGATATTGAAGACGACATTGACATCAATGATGAGGAAATAGAAATAATAAGCCGCCAAAAGTCTGCTATAATAAGATATACAAGATATAAATTATATCAAGACCCAGCCAATTATTATAGAGAAAAAATATTGTTATTCATGCCTTGGCGAAATGAGCTGCAAGAAGTGGAAAATGTTAACTTTGAACAAGTTTTTATCGATCATAAAAGAATAATTGAAGATAACCAACGTAAATTTGCTATTATAAGTGACGAAACTTTAGACGATGCACTAAAATTAATGAACTCGAACAACTTCATTATGATGATGAACATATAGATCAAAATTCATTTAGTAACAACATTGATATATTACAACAAGAGGGAAATAAAACAACAAATAACAAAACAAAAACGACCTCAACAAACAGTCGATATGCGTGCCCCACTAGGGTTTCCCAAAATCAATTGTTTGAAATGATGCTGCAATTAAATATTAAGCAGCGGGAGTTTGTTATGCATATATTTAAATTGTTCAAAATAGGCAAAATACCATTTAAAATATTCTTAAGCGGATCAGCCGGCGTGGGTAAAAGTATGGTTATAAATACATTATACCAACTGATAACAAGTTATTTCGACAGTCTACCCGGTGGAGATTTAGATAAAATAGTGGTGCTGCTGTGTGCTCCGTCAGGAAAAGCTGCTTTCCTCATCAATGGCGTAACGTTGCATTCCGCGTTTGCATTACCTTGCAGACTATTTGGAGTAAATTTAGCTGAACTATCGAGTGACGTAGCTAATACAATACGCGAACAATTAGCAAAAGTTCAACTCTTAATTATTGATGAGATATCGATGGTAAGTTGCACGATGCTAACTCGTATTGATACTAGATTGCGGCAAATAAAAGGTCTCAATGAACCTTTTGGTGGAGTATCTCTATTAGCAGTTGGCGATTTGAAACAATTGCCACCGGTAAAAGATAAACCGGTATACGAAGTGTCACGTCACAATGAAATGGCTCCATTCTTTGATGTTAATCCTTTGTGGAATACATTTGACTTTTTTGAATTGACAGAGATAATGAGGCAAAAAGACAATTTAGCATTTATCAATGCATTAAATAATTTATCGGAAAATAAAATGACAGAAGTTGATTTAACATTAATAAGGACCAGAGAAGTTGAACGAGAAGAGGTTCCGGAAACAGCAATATGGTTGTACGGAACAAATGACAACGTTGCAGCATACAATAAATTGAAAATTGAACAAAATAAAAATCCGTTAATAATCTCGACAGCCGATCATATCTTTTCAAAAACTTTTATCAATGAACAAAGTAGAAAACTAATTTTAAATTCTTTAAGAAAAGGCAATAAAAACGACATCAGATTGGAGGAGACCATTGATTTAAAAATTGATATAAAGTATATGCTTACAAGTAATATCGATGTTGTTGACGGACTTGTAAATGGCGCTTGCGGTATTTTGAAACACATCACTTTCGATAAGACGAATAAAACTCCAGAAATTTTATGGCTAGATTTTCAGCTTTCGAGAGTGGGTAAAAAGGCCAGAAGTATTCACAGGGAATATATGTTGAATGGCGAAATTGAAAATAATTTGACACCTATAAGGAATTGGCTCTGCGCATTAACTCCACCGATGAAGAAAAATATCATATTGTGAGAAATCAATTTCCGGTCATAATTGCGGAAGCTATCACAATTCATAAAAGTCAGGGGCAAACATACGAAAAGATTTGCCTTGATTACACAAAGACGGAAAGGCGAATTATACAAATGCAATATGTTGCTCTTAGCCGCGTTACGAATTTAAATGGACTATATATCTTGGGAAGGTTTCATATTAAGAATAATTCAAGTAAAAGGTTGGGAGGCATCGACAAGAATCCGGCTCTGGATGAGTTAAAACGTCTAAGGCAACAAAGCAATTACAATTATCCTATAATGATTTAAAGAATGAGGCGACATTAAAAATAATTTATCATAATGTCGGAACCCTCAACAATAAACTGGCTCACATTATTCAAGATAAGTGGTTTCATCGTGCAGATATATTATGTTTTAGTGAAACACTATCCAAATCGAACGATAAATTGGATATAGAAAATTTTAAAATAATATTCAGGTCAGATATTAGTGACAAAAGTAGAGGTTTTATTGTTTACTCAAAAATAATTTATTGGCAAAATTTATAACAGCCGAATATAGGTTCAATGAGAAAGCTTCTATCGAATTAATTCTGATTAGTTCGAATGATAATTTTATTGTAACGGGATACAAAACTCCAAATGTCAATAGATTGATGTTTGAAGCTGCATTTTCAAACGTTATCAGGCAACTTTCAGATAACACTAAAATCATATTTATAGGCGATTTTAATTTCAACATTATTAATGGCGCTTGTGATAAGAATAACTATTTAATAAATTATTTACGAAAGTATAATTTGCAAACTATGTTAGCGAAAAATGACATAACAACAAGTTTAAACACCCAAATAGACGTCGTTTTTAGTAATATTGATAATTTACAAGCCGGCGTATACGAAACGTATTTCAGTTACCATAAGCCGATATACGCAATTTTGCATAACAATTGCTTTATTAATACGATGTTAATACCCGCCAATGTGGATGCTATTTTTGACTCAACTAATATAGACATAACCCTTAATAATGTTAACAATTCCGAGAACGCTTCTATGACAATTACGACTGTTGACGATGCTAATGTTGCCTCTCATATTACTACCACTGCTACTACAAATAAAAAAAACGAGTGCAAGAACTACTAAAACGCCTACAATTTGTAGTAATAACACTAATATTGCTGTCACTGAGTTTACTTCTTTAGAACGCACGACAGAACTAATTCTTCGAAATGTAGTATCGCTAACTACTTCTAATTTCAACGACGCGAGACTTATAGCAGAGCTTAAGTTATATTTTCTAAGGAAACGATTTTATTATTGAAATTCGAAACTTATTTTCAACCCATCCAATAATTAACTACAATAACATAAGAACGTCGTGTACTATAGAGAATAAAAACGGGTACAAGCACTTTCACAAAGCCTTTAAAAATTACTTTAGAATTATCACAACCACCGGACGCGGCAATTGTTTTTATGACGCAGTTTCACGCAATATTGTGGCGATGAGCAATTGTCAAAAATTGTGAGACTACTATGTGTGTACCAAATAGTTCACGACGATGAAATGCGTTCACCTTTCGTCTCATACTCTCAATTTTTCACATGCCGTGAATTGGTATGTGATTGTTGTCCATTTACAACAAGTTGTTATCGGCACATGAATTTGCAAACTCAAATAAGATTACATGCAAGTGACGGGAAATGGGCCTATACCGTCACGCCATACTATTTAGCTAGAGCTCTGAATCGTGATATAGTTGTTTTCACAAACCACACAACAATCGGTCTACTTATTGTCACTGTTCACCGACATTCAACTGCAGATTATTATAATACAACTCTGCAACAAGAGCCCATACTTTTAATTAATTTAGAGAATATGCATTACTCAGCAATATTACCAACGACCAATATTAAATTCAGCGATATTATTCAAGATCCAACCATCTCCCAAATTTTGACTCAAAACATCAACTATACAAGCACGATAATTGAAAAATTTGTTAAATGTCCGAAGAAATAGGTGAAAAGTTACAGTATCTTTTCATAAAATAAATAGCTTTATTTATTTCTATCCTACGCTATCTTACCTAATTATACACACAGTTATAATACCTGCCTGTTCGAAATCTTGCTGAAGATCAAAAACAATTTACTTAGTAATTCGGATTAAACAATGAACATGATTGAATCAAGTTATCTTGCGTGCTGAAATACCGCTGGAGTATCCGCATGGTGAACATTTTACGTTTGTGTGTTACATTTAAATAACAATTTACTTTTACAGGATCCTACC